GAAGCCCAATTTCGACTACACGCTTCAATATTCGCGTGAGCTCATCATTCCTGTATCGGCGGTTAGCTACGTGAATGGGCACAGGGATAGCACGAACGCACTTCAGCTGCTGCTCCAGGTCCCTCTGCTCCAGCTGATCTGCGAGCACATTCACCCGTGTTTTCAGCTCCGTCACCTGTGTCCCCAGCTCGTCTAACTTGTCGTTCACGTCGTCTCTACGTTTAGATTGACTTCGAGATGACCGCCATGTTTCTCCTATGATCAAGAGTGCTGCTACACTGAATAGGAATCCTTCTGCTAACGCATTGGCCCCATTATCTATAGCTCTATGCATGGGATCAGATATGCAATAGATCAGAAGCAAAGAGCAGGACGCACTTTTGTTCGGAAAGTGGGCGTATATGTTTTGCGGGCTCCCCCAGCAGTCCAGTTCTCAGCTTCACTTCAGCGCGGTACATTCGCTGGGCTAATGAGACACAGAATGTTCGAAACCGGTCATGCCTGCGACTAAAAAGTAAGCATATTAAATAAGGCAAGATGAACATTAAAAGGACCGTTTAGCTTGCTCTTTGAGGGTGGAACTTATTGGCTTCGCGATAGTCTCCGTGCAAGAAATAAGTTTAAAATTCAACAAGGAGACGTTCATTACTTACTCGGATTAGCAGTGTCGCGACTTTTGCGCTGGCCATGTTAACGATCTAGTTGAAGAAGGGGACAGGCGGCGTTTTAATTTAGTGCTTCAAGCCTGCTTGATGTCGTTCCTCGGGAGGCAACGTGCCGAAAGAATGCGTCATCTGCCTTTTTTGGCACACACGATATCTGTGTACCGGCGTCCCGACATCTCCCGACATGAAAGAAAGGCGTCGCGTAAGCTTGATCGCAGCGAATAAAGTATCGGTGCTACAATCAACCGCCTCGGATCTATATTTGCTACAGATATGTGTACTGCAGTATGTTCTACCGAGTGTAACCTCGGTCTTCAGGGTCCCCCATTAGCAGCAACCGCGGCCTACGATACGCATGTAAGTTGCAACCTAGCAACCTACTACTTCGTATTCTCATTTCTCAAAACCTGGAAAGGGTGCCATGCAGTTAACATTTTTTTCTACTAGGAACGAGATTGAAGTAATATAGAGGTCATGATAAGACATGGATCGTTAAACATCGGTGAACAAATGTATCAGAGCTTTATGTTGGGTTCTTTCGAATATCTAAGGCCCGTAGAATGTCACGTTAGGTCTAGGTCTGATTTCCAGCTTGTGGATGAGCATCCCGAAGAATAGGAAGACGAACAAGCCCCCTAGAAGTCCAACATAAGCGCTCGGCCCGATGACAGTTAATGATACTCACAGTTCGCCCATGCGATACCCTGGATAGCCACGATCCTTGAACACTGATCGGCGAACCGCGCCCAGTTCGGCGAGAACGAGTCCGCGGGGTTGCCACAGTTGTATGATCGGAAGGGGCTGACTTGGAACATTACACCTGCCCCAGTTCCCCAGAATACAGCGCCAACAAAGGTGAAGAAGGTGATTACTATCATAGATGTTAAAACTGCGTTAGAAAACATATCAAAAAAAACGTACATCCAAGACCGGCGGAGTATAGGTGTCCAATCAGGTATAGGTAGGTGAATACACAGCTGAAGAGCAGCAAGCCGAGATCATGCTTGTATTCCATGCCGGGGTAGTTGGCATAGTCGTTGCCGCCATTATGAAGCTGCTGCGAGACGAGACCGAGTTGCGACGTAGCTAGTGTGATAGGAGGCGTTGAGCATCAAAGAATAGTGAATCGAAGGATATACTACGAACTCAAGGCAAAGACTAGGAAAAACGCGATAGCATAGAGCATCCGCCTCGGGGACGTAATGAAAGCCTTGAAAGGAGTCTGGACATATTCTTTCTTCTCTGTGTAGTGCGTCAATACACGCTATAGCAGAAGAGTAATGCACAACGAACCAGGCATGACGACGACTCAACTTCGCAGAACGGGAGTATGGGAGATAGCTGCTGGTAGCTGCCAGGTGGCTAGAACAACGACAGACTAGAAAGTCAACCCAGGGTTCACATTTATATACCCCCAAACTCATGATCCGAGTCACCACCCGGTGGTTTCTATTTTTTGTTACTCGTGAAATCGATTTGTCACATTTTGTAATGATGCATTCAACCTATGGCCATTTAGCCTTGAAACAAAGACATCAGAGCGGATAAAGAGTTTTACGAGAAACCCGGAGTAGAGATAGTAGACATCGGCTGAATAGGCGCGACCCGCGTCCCGATAATCGAAGTCAGACCCCCAGTAACTCTTAAGCTGTAGGAAAATCGTTGAAGCCATATAGCCTAGAAGACTCCCCGTGAGCAGATGTCCGTCGGTATGAAGTTTAGCATGCCGATTTTGGTCGTCGAAAGCGATGGAAACGGATGGAATCGATGATTCGGCCAGACATGGTAAGTACAAAGGCAAAATTACACACCGCGGAAATACGCGGCGAGACGGATTAAGATAAACCAATCGGCGGTTCTCACGATGTTGGAAGTGCGAAAAGTATTCAGTTGTAAGGCACACAATCCACCAGGAGAAGGGTAATCGAACAGTTCAGTTTAGGGCATCTTCATTGCTGAATTTCCACCACCGCTGTTGCAGAATTGCCCTGACAAAATAGTACCATGCTTTGATAACGGTCAGAAAGGAGACTCGGAATTAGTAATCTCAAACATTTCTTACTTCATTACAGTGATTGACAGGTCAATGCAACACTATCAGTCACTGAAACAGTTAATTTATCCCACTTCCCCTCAATTCTGTTGCTAAATTCTGTTGTATAATTTGAGATAGGCATGTTATAGATTTTATAAGCATTTTTGAGGAATTTTAGAGCTGCAACTGACTCTGTGAAAAATCGAACAATGAGGCAGATTTGGCAGAGGTTTGCCACGTGGCCATTTATCAGTCAATGAAACACCATAAATGACAAATATCTCGGTTGATAATATTTCAATCCACTTCATATTTGGTATGGACATTACTGAGTAAAATTAATAATTTTCTAGCTACTTCATTTGGGGAACAAAGAGAGCTATGGAGAATGGGATGGAAAACAATTTTCGGTGTTCCAATGACCGGTCAATAACTGTAGTCAATTGTAACGGCGGGGTTTATCGATCAATCCACTGGGTTCCCACGGCCAGTTAACTGCCACTTCCTTATAGGGAATGCGAGTTCGTTAGCTGCTCCCGGGCTCAATTTGTGGATTTGGGCCTCGATAATCAGCACTTTATATCTAATACATGATTATAATACCTGAGAGGTCTTCTCATCAGAATTTATTTCCTCGCTGGTGAGAAATAGACATCGGGCAGTTAACTGCTATGCCTCGTCAGCCAAGTAAACTGCCATCGGTCCGATCCGGTCCGACAGTTAACTGCCGTTTGGCTCGTCGACGTTCACTGTGTTCTCTCTCTTGCCCTGTTTACATCAACGCTAACAGAAAAATAAGTGATATACTTAGGATGGCCTCTTATTAGTTTCCTCTAATAAATGCTCTCATTTTGCTCATGTCTGACCACCCTAGTAGTCCTCAGAGCCGCCTGCATTCACTGCTTCCATTGGTCCAGGATCATGAATTTGAGACCTTTAGTTTCAAGGGAAAGTATTTATGAGAATAGGTCCAACTCTTCCAATAATTAAGATAGCGTACTCATCATAAATCTGAATATTGGTCTTCCAATAGTCTTCAAGTCTCTCAGACGGATTATGGCACCTGAAAATATTATGAAATGCAGGACAGCATGGAATACTCTGTATTTTAGCCCGCAGAATGTATCATGAGCGCGGCGCATGCGCCGCGCTTCCCGGTGGAGGTTCTTGACTGGTCCCGGGATTAAATTTCTGCTTGATGTGAATTTACATTGCAGTATCTATGTATGAATAATTTAAATTTCTACTGAAAAGAACTTTATTTCCTTCAAAATAGAGGCAAAATTTCGCTGTTGTTGCGAGATAGACGAGTCGACAATTTCACTAAACGCTGTGGCTGTGAAGGCGAATATGGTATGGGAACCGCTGACTAACCTTCCTTTTTTGAATTCTTTTTCGTTCAAATTTGGATGGGGATACCCAGCGTATTGAACGGAAAACCTGAACTGGCTTCCAACATAGGCTCGATACCAACCTACCTGTCACCTGAATATGGTCGTTATTCCGTCCTTTATCCCCTCAATAGGAACTACACGGCCTCGTAGACTGGTTCGAGTCTACTTCTAACAGGTCGATTAGAGAAAGGGCGTATTTACTCCTGATGTAAGTATATCCATAGTTCTACCTTGGAAATGACAAGATAGCGGGCGGTTAAGACTTTATACACGTTCCTCGACATGTCTTAGCACATTCTTCAACAAATGGCCGTAGTGTCGGTCTCAAATTAGGCTGTTTCTTTGCACAAACACTCACTCAATTCGCTTCTTCATCCTTCTAGCTATCTAGCGTTGACATTGCGGCTTCACAATGGTCGACGATATGCTCGGCAACAATATTTCTCGGTAGCCTGGTTTTGGCAAGCTGCCGCTGAACAGATTATTAAGCGCCAATACAATTGCTGATCAGTGGGCAGACTTTTACCACGTTCTGTAGTTATCGTGAGCTGCGAAGGAATCAGAGAAAGAAAGCTCATACCACTTTTTGAGGAGCATTCGCGGCGGAGGGTGACGGGACCTCGACTGAGAGAGATACCGGTTCATTTAGAGGTGTGCACGGAAGATCGTCTTCATCGTAGGACTCATCCCTCTGGCTCTGTAATACGCAAGATCCTCGTTAAGTCATAGACGTCGCCATAGAGTATCCAGCCGAGCAGATGGCACGTCTCGTTCTGGGAGGTAAAGGAAATCAGAGGCACGCTTAGTGAGTTTCCCTGGTTCTCAGCGGAGACATGGTAGTGTTGTCACGGCTGCTAAGAGGCTTCAATGCTGGAACATTATGTGACTGACACCAGCATAGCTTGTGGCACAATGGCCGAGTGGTCTAAGGCGTGTGACTCAAGCAATCCCGTGTAGTTTTCACTCGATTTACACGGTCAAGCTTGCCCGATCCGGGTTTCTCATCATCGTATGATGGCAGGGGTTCGAATCCCCTTTGTGTCACTTTTTGTAGGCTCAAGCCTCAAGTGACGTCACTGGTCACTGGTCACTGGTAAGTTGTAACTGGCCAGTTGTCCGTTGAGTCTTGACTGCTTATAGTGCTCAGTGCTGTATCTATTATCCGCTGTTCTGCTTAGTGCCTAAGCGCTCAAGCCTCACTGCTCCCTATCGTTTTGTTAACATGATTCAATTAATATATTGCTACGTATTCGTTGAGAACTACTGCCTGTGGCATAGCGCGGGCAACCTCCGGGGAATCGGGATGCTAGGTAACGCATTGTTACTGGCCTTCCCTAGGTCTAACTCCCCGGTGGTTTCTTATCATGGTGCGGGCTCAAGATTTAAATCCGCTATCACCTTTACCTCACAGTTTGACCTATCCCTTGCCGTCTCGTCTTATGCTTCTGTGACAAAGTTTATCATTCAAATTCTAATTCAACTTTATTTAAACGTTACCGTATTTGGTGCATCTTGCTGTTTCTTTCCAGTGAACGGCGATTAAGGAATCGGCTCTGATTTAACATAAACACCAGCCATTGGTTCTTGCATTTGGCGGACGGATGCGCAAATGCTGCTTCTTGCCCAGCTCTTCTGACACCATTCGTTGAGATCAGTGTATTTATAACGACTCATTATTATCTAGAAGACGCTGAGGATGCTATATTCAGTATTCCGGGGGTCACTGCAGCACGTTCAAACTTCAAAGTGATTGCGCAAAGATGCATCACTTTCGGGAAGGTAGTATCGTTACAGCGTGCTGTAACCTGAAGGATCCATTAAGGCATATCTACATGTTATTTCCTGCTTCTATACACTCCTTAGTCCACTCTTGTGCACGTATTCCTCGTGGTGTTAACAATCAGGTTTTCACGTGTACGTAAGGTTGTTGAATTGTTTTCAAACGTTGTTCCCGCACCTGAAGCTCCCACCATCGACAACCTACTGTAACTATCGCTATACTAGACCATGTCCCGACCTCGCCCCGACAAACACAAATATCGTCAAGCATGGAACAAAAGCTGGGAAGATGAGCTTTTGGATAGATATCCTCCAGGACAAAAGCCTCCAGCTATGACCAGTGTCATGTCCCCCCAGAGTATTCGTTTTATTAGAGATACTGAATCCCTGCTATCATCGCAGTTGGAGAAAGACATCCGAACCAAGGAAATGTGTCTTCTCCAGCGAGACTTGGCTCAAGCTGCCGTAACAGGATTGAGTAACGACAACTTGGAGGAAAGGTGGAGATCGTTGTCGCAGCAGCGACGGGAAGAGTTGGTCCTCGAAGGGCTATATGTAACTGCCTGCGTTCCAAATGGCATGGAGGACTGGCGGTTATGGTGTCCCGAAATGACCGTCGCCTCGCTTTCTGGAACAAACGACAGAGACTTCATCCACCTTCTGAAAATGCTCCTTCCCGACGATCAAGTCAAAGAGACACTTAGCACTCCGCTGCTCTTGGCGAATCCCACATTCGAGGATCTGGTGAAGACCAACGATACCGTACTTAGACAGATATTCGACGGATATCGGCTGAAAAGAAGCTATTTCATTACCATGACCGTATGGAGCATCCTAAACGCATTTGTGAGCTCTTCTGCTTGGGCATCGACAAGGACTGAATAGTAGCGCCAGTACGGTAACAGAGAGGAGATACAAGTAGCAAAGCCGTTGTATCGCGACAATAGCAGACCCAGCAAGAACGTCTTACGCCAAGCCAAGAAATTCTACAAGGACGAAGGAAGGCTTCCTCAGTTTTCGAAAGACATGCGGGATTATTCTCGTCGAAAAGAGGCTGAAAATCACCAAAATCTATGCTTCCATTGCAGCCGCAAAGAAGATATGTCTGCCGGAGGGGAGCGTTTTCGAATTTGTAGCAAATGCAAAGCCGTGGATCGAGTGGTGAGATACTGTTCAGTGTCCGTTTGGGTGTATTTGTTGCCAAGTCACGGGGCTGACTTATTCATCCTGTGGTAGGGAATGCCAAAAGAAAGATTGGAAGCGCGGATTCCCTAGACCTCACAAAGCCATCTGCGGAAAAGTCACTTTTGACGAAGAGAAGCCCAGTGAGGATATCCCGGACTCGGAGACAACGGACACGGAGCTTGAGAGTGGCATTCCACTCCCAGACCCGTCTTTCAAGCGACCCCCAGACTTGCTGCACCAAATTTCTTTCATCACCAAGCCGACGCCATGTGATTACATTGTAAGTCGAAAACTACGCGTTTCCAACGGAGAGACAATAGCTCATGATTCCGTAGTACATGCGGCCGCGTCCATTTGACGACATAGGCATTGACATCCCAGATGTTACAGGTGAGGGGTATACTGTTTGCTGAGGTGGTATCTGTCCTCATGGTTGCCGCTCCTGAAGATAAGGTCATGTTCACCGCTATGCGGCGTCAAGGTATTCCACACCTTTCAATTATTTGATTCTCGCAGCTGAAGCTTCGCAGCGATGATAAACGGTGATCCTGTCGCCGTCCTCGGCATGTATCAGATCTTGAAAACCTTAGCGCCAGCTAGCATTTCGGAGGATCAGCTGAAGACGCAGCTGAGAAAAGAATACGGTGTTGACGTCGATCTGCTTGGGGACGACTTCCGCCGGGACAAGAAGATGGCTTCTCCTGGTGAGGAAGGATGGCAAATCGTTGAGGAGTTGGTGAGGAAGAAACTGATGTACCGGATTGCTGAAAAATCGTTCCTCTCCACCGACACCACAAAGGAGCTGGCGAGAAAGGAACTAACACATCGAAGTGCTGAACACGGGCTTCCCCCCGCTGATCTGGAGTTGAAGATGGTCACATATCCAGATGTTGAAAACTCCCATCCTCCCATTGATACCAAAGAGGAGTCGGTGGGAAAGGAAGCGACGCATTGGAATGTTGAACCCTCTCATCCACCAGCTGACCTGACAATAACGCGTGGAAGTGTTGAAAACTCGTATGCACCCGCCGACCTGGAGTTGAATGTAGTAACATATCAGAATGTCGGAGAGTCGCATCCACCCACTAGCATATTTTATCTACTTCTCGCACTCTCTGTCATTTCTCTAGTACCTGACCTCCTGTCCGTCTTGACAGGTTAGCCCTTACCCCAGTCATCTCACCTTCGCTGCTTTTACTGTTCACTCTGTATATAACTTACACTCGTTAGCTCTTCCCGATGTTCTCTTCGCTTTACGAAAGACCCAAACGTGATCAGTTTTACCGTCAAAGTGTGATATCATTCGAATTCATACTCGGATGAATGTCATTTACGCCTGCGCCTCTCCTTCTACACCTTTTATCTCGTCTTTCACCATCTTCACGGGCGAGCCTGCTAATTTGGATTTCAAGGCTTCGTACCTCTTCTTTTGCTGAGGGCTAACACTTGGCCCGACCTTCTCTAAGGCAGCATTGAAGTCAGCGATATGGACCGTGACCTTTGGCCTCTCTTCGGGCCCTCTCGTATCATCATCCATATGATCCAGCACACCAAGCGTTCGGCGCAAGGCGGTGACACCTGCTTCACGAACCAAAGCGGCCAGATCGGCACCGCTGAACCCATCGCAGCGCTCGCGAACAAAGTCCTCCACCTGACTTAGGACGGCGTCTAGTGACTCGCTTCCATTACCAGCAAGAGGTACCTTCCGCGTCATAGTGCGAACGATCTCAGCACGTTCATCACCATTAGGGAGGTCCACATAGAGCAGCTTGTCAAGACGTCCTGGCCGAACCATGGCAGGGTCTATCATATCAGGACGGTTGGTAGCGGCAATGACATACACGCTTTTACGGGCATCTAGTCCATCAAGCTCGGTCAAGAGGGTATTCACGACCCGAGCTGAAGATTCAGACTGGCGAAATGATCAGATAATGGCGTTCAACACGACAAGAGAATGTGACTTACAAGACTGTCGTCACGCCGAGGGACGAGTGCATCAAGCTCATCAAAGAAGATGACACAAGGAGATGATGCCCGGGCTCGCGAGAAGACCTGGCGTACTGCTCTCTCGCTTTCACCAACATACTAAGGAACGGCGTGAGCTTAGGGTAATTGGAAGAAAAGCTTTGAAGGTACCTTATTCAAGAGTTCCGGGCCTTTGACGCTGATAAAGTTTGCTCGAGATTCATTCGCGACGGCTTTAGCCAGCAATGTCTTCCCACATCCTGGTGGTCCCCAGAGTAATACTCCACATGCTGCCTCTATGCCGACAGCACTAAACAGCTCCGGTCGTTTGATAGGCTGAACGATAGCCATATGTAGCTCATCTCGGGTACGATGCAAGGCACCAATGTCCGACCACGAGACATCGGGTACGGTAGCAAAACCTTCTCGCTTGGAAGAGGGCTGAACCTGGGTCAGGGCGACGGTGAAGTCGGCCGAGGTTATGCAGAGAGGAGCCAGCTGTATGGGTGTAAGAGGGTCGGGGTGGGCGTTGAGGAAATGGGCTATGGAATGAGGGGATGAAGTGGGAAACGAAAGGGAGGACGTTATAGCCTTTATTATTGGGGCAGGCTGCAATGAAGATGATGACGCCTGTGCAGCAATCTGGGGCTCATCAACTTGCATAGACGAATCCGGTTCCGTCGGTAGCTGTAATGTACCTTCCGACAGCTGCTTGAATATTCGCTTGACCGCTATGATACCGGCAGCAGCAGTAAGCGCCGACAAATCCGCTCCCACATAACCTGGAGTAGCTTTGGCGAGTGCGGCGAAGTTGAAGTCACCCTCTATGCGCAGTTTGACGGACAAGACACGTAAAATCCTGAATGAAGGTGAGAATGGCATTAATAGATGAACAATTTTCTTGCCTTTCTCGGGCTTCGTCATCAGGAACACCCATACTGATTTCGTGGTCAAACCGACCAGCCCTTCGCAGAGCAGCATCAAGTGAGTCCGGTCGATTGGTAGCACCCATCACAATCACTGGTTTGTTATCATTCTTCTCCCAAGACATGTCTAAACCCACGTCAGATGGGAAAGAAAGACAGTGTGCGGAAAATTACCATCCATGCATGTTA